GCGTGTCTCACCCGGCCTCCCCAGTATCCTCCGCAGCGGCACCTCCTCCTGCTCCGCCTTCCCCGCGCGTCGAGCCCGGCTCACCAGTCTCGTACCGGAGGCGCCCAGTCCCTCCGGTCCCACCGTAGCCGCCTTCGTCTCCGGTCTCTAGTCGCACTCGTTCCAAGGGACCGGCTCCGCCTCTCGCCTGGGGACCAGCCGCCTTCTCCATCCGGTGTTCGGTCACCCCGCCTCCTCCTGCCGGGGGTGATGTCCCCTCCATCTGTATTCCCCCCCGAGCACTTCTGGAGGACAGGCATGAGCAGCTGTTTGACCTTCACGCGGTCTGCCCTTCCCTCAACTTCACCGAGAACCCGACCATTCCGACTCCTCGCACAAAAGAGGAAGCTCTCTCGGGGCCTTATAAGAAGGAGTGGAAGGCAGCAATGGATGTGGAGAACGAGGCGTTCATTCGCAACAACAGCTTTGACGATGTTGTTCCCCCTTCCGGTGTCAACATCGTCGGCGGAAAATGGATCTTCCGAGTCAAACAACTCCCAGGCGAAGCTCCACTGTTCAAGGCACGATACGTGGCGAAGGGTTTCACCCAGAAGGAGTATCTCGACTTCTTCGAAACCTTCTCGCCCACGGCCAAGCTCCCGACTGTGCGCGCTCTTCTTGATATAGCCGCTCGCGGCAACTTCGAGATCAAGTCCATTGACGCCTCCTCCGCCTTTCTCCAAGGCCAGCTCAAGGAGGATGTTCACATGGAACGCCCACCGGGGTTTCCTGGCACTTACCCTGCCAACACAGTGTGGAAGCTGAAGCGCCCCGTGTATGGCCTCAAGTAGGCTCCTCGTGAGTGGCACAACAAGGTGAAGGAAGTCCTCCTCACACTTGACTTCCATCCCTCTGCCTCAGATTCCAGTCTCTTCGTTCGTCACTCTTCCGAGCCCTTCTACATCCTCGTCTACGTCGACGACTTCATTCTAGCCGCCAGAGATCCAGCCGACATGGCAGCTGTCCAGTCTGCTCTCAGCTCCGCCCTTCTCATGAAGGATCTTGGTGACCTCAAGAACTACCTGGGGATGGAGATCACTCGTGATCGCCAGGCTTGCATGATCACCCTCTTCCAGGAGTCCTACATCGACAACCTTCTCAAGCGGTTCGATATGGACTCCAGTAACTCTGTCTCCACTCCACTCCCACTACAGCATCAGCTCACGGCCCCTCCAGTTCCTTCTCCTGACGCTTGCAAGGACCCGTACCCTGAGCTAGTCGGTTCACTCATGTATGCCATGATGTGCAGTCGACCAGACTTGGCTTACCCGGTTAGTGTCCTCTCTCAGTACGTCTCCCCCGAACGCTACACTGCCTCGCATTGGTCTGCAGCCAAGAGGGTCCTCCGCTATCTACAAGCCACCAAGTCTCACATCCTCACTCTTGGTGGTACCTCTCCAGTCAAGCTCGAGGGATACACAGACTCCTCATGGGCCGATGACCAGACTGACAGACACTCCTCCCAAGGGTACTGCTTCACCCTTGGTAGCGGAGTCATCAGCTGGCGCTCCACTCGGTCCTCTGCAGTCTCCCTGTCGTCCTGCGAGGCCGAGCTCTACGCGGGCACAATGGCTGCTCAAGAGGCACGCTGGCTCTCCTTTCTCCTCGCTGAGTTAGGCTACCCCCAGCAGTCGCCCACCCTGTGGTGTGACAACCAGAGTGCCATTCATCTCACCAAGGATCCTGTGTTCCACTCTCGCACCAAGCACATCGAACTTCGTCATTTCTTCATCCGAGATCTTGTTCAGAGTGACCAGCTGACGGTACGGTACATCGCCTCAGATTGCAACCTCGCCGACCTCTTTACCAAGGCTCTCGGCAAGGCTAACCACCATCGCCTTCTCCGTTCCATGGGGCTATGTGCTCCTTGACCAGGTTTGCAGTCTATGGGGGTGTGTTAGAAATAGACTGCAAATACCACTTTTGTATTTGTACTTTTATATCCTAGTTTAGGTTGTGAATGTTCTAGTGGGTTGGGGTGTACTCACAAATCCCAACCTCACCCAATTGTGATCCCCACAATCTCCAATTACCCAATTGGAGATTCCGGAGATCCCAATGGGGATTCCCTCCAATTCCCCCTTCATCCATTCTCTCTCACCTTGCCATGTACTTATAGAGCCTTGGGCTCCTTACCTAATCAATCATCTCAACTCTATTTCTTACATCGCTCACGTCCGCTACTCTTGCTCTATGTGCAGTAGCAAAGACCAGGTCATCTACGTTGACAAGGATGTAGAGCAGAGTCTGGCGTAAGCAAACGAAGAGAGATGGGTCAGCGACGGCAGCGATAAGAACCGAGAGACTGGGACACGAGGAAGAAGAGAGCGAGCAGCACGGAGAAAGTCAGAGAGAGAAGGAGAGGAGACAGCAAGGAACGACTGAGGAGGCGATAGGAGAGCAGGAGCGGGAGGAGCACGAGACGCGTGAGACCGGAGTAACATAGGGTTGGTATCGTGGAACAGGTGAGACATGGTGAGCACGAGAGGCACGGTGAGACCACCAGCAGGAGGGAGGTGTCGGGTCAAGAGACAAAGGAGGAGGCACAAGAGGAGAACAAGGGGGGAAACGAGCCAGGGACAAGTCCAGCGGAGGGAACACAATGTTGTAGACAGGAGGAGGAGGCGGCGCTGGGGGAGGCGCGGGCGGTCGGTTGGGGGAGGGAAGTACTGATGGCATTCCCTTCAGCATGGTGGGCAGCCCTCATATCCTTCTTTCCCCCCTCGCCCTCTATCAAACACAGGGACTGGCTAACCTCTACCAGTGCATTGTTCACCACACCCTCTCTCGCATACGAGGTCTTGCGTGTGTCCTCTTTGACCGGAGTTACAGCTCGTGCCTTTGCTGTCGGACTAGATGGTAGAATTGCTAAATCCCTATCGAGTATGTGTTCCTTTAGTTCCGATTCGGTCGTCTCAGTGCACATGCAGGATAAATGGCTAGCGGGCACCTTCTGCAGTGGAGCTGGTTTGGGGGCGTAGGTGGAGCTGCTACAAGATGGGATCCCTTCGCTTGCTGATATCCGCCAGCTGCTCTACGTCCAGCGACCTCTCAACCACTTTGGCCACTGGAGCAGATACCTCTCATCTCCTCCCCCTACGTTCATCCCCGACTACTCTCACGAGTTTCTTTGTCATCAACCCAGCCTTTAGCGAGACATCCTGTTCAAGTTCTACACACGCTCGCTCCCATCTGGGGCACGCTTCCTCGTCGCGGCCGACAAAGGTCCCTGTGCTTGCTGCCCCGACAAACCTCTTGAAGCGCTCTCTCACATCTTCTTCGAATGCAGAGTCTCACGCTCCATTACAGCAGCAATACGGCGTGTTGCCCAGCTGCAACTAGGTGTACATATCTCACCTGAACAGTCCATGTTCCCCCTTCACACCATCGCTGGGCAATCTTCTCATTGGAGTCTTCTGGTGGGGATGACGGTCAGCACCATTTGGCATTTTTTATGTGCAAAGAAGTTTAGTGGCTCTCCAGCTAACGTTTTTAATGCCCTCGATACGGTGCTTACCATGTTCCTACTGGCTTGCTGCATCTTCTCCTGGCACTGCTCGTCTCAGACAAAAAAAGAAAAGAGCGCGCTCTTAGTTTAAACTCAAACTCGCCAAGTCTCTTAGGTTTTTACAGTCCTCCGCCGACGGCCACCTCTCCCTTCACCCGACGCTCAAGGCATCGTGGCTTCTCAATTATGTGTTCCGTCCACCTTAGGCCTTCACAAACTGTTCTCGGATAAAGCGCTGATCAGGACGTCTGCGTGACAGCAGTTGCTAGCCACGGTTGGGTGTGTAATGTGTACTTACGTATACCCTCTTATGGATATTAGCTTCTTAGCTATATACACCTGATGCATGCGTGAACTGGTTACAACCTTTATAAAATCTTCAAGCCATATGGTCACCTGGGCGGGTCCCTCTTTTCGGCGGGTCTTCCTGGGGAAGTGTAATGAAGTGCAAAGAGCGTGTGTCAAAGGATTAATTAACGGGGAAACAATATTACTGAGACAACATCAAAACAGCAGGGAGAGTGGATAAAGCTATCCTAGGAACATGGTCATGGCTTGGCAGGGCTACGACGTGCGGTTCGTAAATTGGCGCGAAGCGCCCAGATTTTGGGATGCAGCAGCAAGGCGGGCAATAATGCATGCGGTTCGTCAGGAGACCACATTTGGGACTGCAATTTGAATTTCGTGGCAGCGCTGCGCGGCAACCTCGTTATAGCAGTGTACACCTTACTGACCGAAACCCGTGATAAGGAAATACCATTTCCTTACACCCTCCCCCCTCCAAGGTATGGACTTTGTTAAGACCGCCGATATCGCGCACATTGCGGGAATGGAGGTAGACTCGTAACACCGGGCAATTCTCGATTTGTGCCAGGGGCACCCAATTGTTTTCCAGGGTCGTCCGGTCCTTCAAGATATCATAAATTCGATCAGGTGAGCCCCTCGAGGGTCCTTCATCCAATGGCTGAGCACCTTTGCAGGTTCGACAGTAGGCTCGGCGAGCGGTCGGATGTTCAGATTCGCTTGGTGACGTGGTAGCTTACTGGTGCTGGCGATGCAAGGTCGAAGTAACCGCACGTGAAATGATGGGCTGATGTTTTAGGTGGTCAGTAATAGTAGATGGGATGGTGAATGGTCCTCAGTAGCAAGGGTAGAGTTTTGGGACGATGGGGAGTCAAAGTTTCTGGGTATCTAGCATTACTGTTAGAATTAAGGACAGAGTCTAGGTGAACTTAGGAGCTAGAATTACTCAAAATATAAATCCGAAATTCTGGACAGAAAAGTCGTCTTCACAAGAAACGACGTCGACAAAACACTAGCCGTTGGAATGTCGCGAAACTTGGATATGTTGTAGCTCTTGATCTCAGCTACCGTTCCCAATTTGAATCACGTTGATTGATGAAGTATTCGCGACGCTATGGCTTTCGACGCACTAGGGGGTAAGCTGTAGGAGGAGAACTTAACTCAATCTCAAGAGTTCAATCAAAGTTCAAGAATCTCACAAGGAATTAGAAGGAGCAAGAGAAAGGTTGGGATAGAAAGAGAGGGACGAGAGGGAAGGTCCCAAGAGAGTCCCCAACCAAGGAAACCCCATAAGCACAAAGATTCCCTCCCTATAGGAACCTCAACTTTGACCTTTGTCCCTTCCCAACCAATCCATCCAAGTTGGCCACCCTTGCCAACCTAGCTTGGTTGTTCCCAACCAATTTGCAGCTGTTACAGTAGAGTGACAAGTTTCCCCAACCCCAAAGGTCCCAACTCCATATAAAGTCACCCCACAACTTCACTTTGTAACCGCCGCAATTGTAACGCAAGCTCATGAACTTTGAATCTTCATAGCTTTCGCGTTCTTGCTCCGATTGAAGCGATTCTTGTTGCGTCGGAAAGATCTTCTCAAGATCTATCATCACAAATACCTGCTCAGACAGAATAACACAAAACACATTCCCAAACTCCAGAACACACCACACACAAATGCTTGCACATTCAAACCACACATGCAAGTTGAAAAAACATGGGATGGGAGGCAGACAGAATGTGATAGCATATGATGACATCACACAACAATCTCCCCCTCTGGCTGCCAACCATCATCGACCATACCACATCTCAAGCATGCATACTCAATGCACACTCATCCCAGCAAGCTTCATGCCCTTCCAATGATCCGCCTCCGCCAGACGCTTAGTGAAAATATCTGCTGCCTGCTGATGGGTCTTCACTATCTCCAGCCGCACCTCCTTATCAAGGATTCTCCTCACCCAATGCCACTTAGGCCTTATGTGTTTTGTCAGCCCATGCAGACAAGCATTCTTGGCGAGCTTCACAGCGGACTCATTGTCACAAAACACAACTGTCGGCTTCTCCTGACCAACTCCCAACTCCTCCAACAAACGCCTTAGCCACACTACTTCCTTGGCCCCATGGTGTAAGGCCATGTACTCAGTCTCACATGAGGACAATCCCACCTCATTCTGCTTCTTGCTGCGCCAGCTCACAGCACCACCTCCTAGCAAGCACACATAACCCCCAATGCTGGTGCCATCCGCTTTCACTGAGTTGAAGCTAGCGTCAGTATAGCAACTCAAGAGCATCTCTCCACTCTTCACATCTGCAGCACCTCTCTGCAACCGCTGCCTCACTCCACTGTACTCCAATCCCACTGATGCCGTAGCGCTCACATAGCGGACCAACCTCTTGGCCGCTTCCAGCTGCTCATGACTAGGGCGTGAGACCACACTAGCCAATCGTGATGTAGCAAATGCAATGTCAGGCCGTGTATGATTTGCAGCATAATTCAGCGACCCAACCATCGAATGAAACAGCTTCCTGTCACTATCACCCACTACCTCCTCATCAGCACATGGCTCCACAGTAAACCCTGAAGGTAGTGGTGTTGCTGGCTTTCCCCCATCTTGCAGCCCATACTTCTCAGCCAGCCCCTCACAGTACTTCCTCTGGTGCAACCTCAGCACACCCTTTTCCACATCTCTCTCCACGTGCATCCCCAAGTAGTACTTCACCTCACCCATCTTGGAGCACTTGAACTGCATCTCCAGCATCTGCTCTGCGCTGTCCAGCAAAGCAGTGGATGCAGAAAAGAGAAGGATATCATCCACATACACCAAGAGCATGAGGATTTCATCCTTCTCCTGCAGCAGGAACAGGCTGGGGTCACACTCACTCTTCTTGAAACCCCCAGCCAACAGCGCCTCCTCCAACTTGTGATACCATGCACGAGGCGCCTGCTTAAGGCCATAGATGGCCTTCTTCAGCCTGCAGACCCTGCCGCTCCCGTCATCCAGCCCCTCTGGCTGCTTCATGTACACCTCCTCCATAATGATCCCATTCAGAAAGGCAGTCACAATATCCATCTGCCGAATCTTCCATCCCAGGAGTGCAGCTATCGCCAACAGCACCCTCAGTGTTGTTCCTTTCCCCACAGGAGCAAACACCTCATCATAGTCCTTCCCCTTTGTCTGCTGAAACCCCCGTGCCACAAGCCTAGACTTGTAGCGGGTCAGCTCCCCTTCAGGTCCATACTTGTGCCTGTAGATCATCTTGGAAGTGATTGCCTTCTTTCCAGGAGGCAAGTCACACAGGTCCCATGTCTCGTTCTCAATTAGGGACCCGAACTCCTCATCCTCACTCGCCTTCCACTTCTCCCCATTTGGTCCATTCAAGGCCTCTTCTCGAGTCTTGGGCTCAGGGATTGGTGCCCAGTAGCAGTGAGCGATCTCATCTTCCTCAATCTGCTCAACCACACTCCCAGCCTGCACCACATTCGGCTTGCCTCTTCCCCCATAGGTCAGCCTCACTGGAGGGCGCACATCCCTCCTAGGACGCTCAGGCGGGTGTGGAACTCGAGGTGGAGACTCATGCTGCTGCTGCTGCTGCTGCTCTACTTCAGCTGCTCCCCCTTCCTCAGTCACCCCAGACATCTCCTCCTCTGACACTGCAACCTCCACCTGTCTTGAAGGCTGCTGCACCTCATCTGCCTCCACAATGAGCGGTGTAGATGGAAGCTTCTGTTGCTGCTGCTTCCATTCCTTGTAGTACAGGGACTCAAGAAACTTCACATCCCTTGACACTGTCAACTTCTGGGTGGTCAGGTCCCATAGCAGCCACCCCTTGTGATCCTTTGCAATCCCCAAGTGCACACCCCATCTTCCAGAAGCCTCCAACTTCCCCCTTTTCTCCTTGGGCACATGAAACACTACCATGCACCCAAATGCCCTCAGCATATTCACAGCTGGAGCACTCCCATACCACTTGACATATGGGATCCACTCCTTATCTCCAACTGTAGCCAGCACCCTGTTCTTCACAAGGGCGACCTGCCTCAGTGCAGACACCCAAAACGGATCAGGCAGCCCTGCACGCCCAAGGAGAGTGCGTGCCCCCTCCTGCAGGGTCCTGTTGAACCTCTCAGCCACGCCATTCTGCTGCGGGTTGTAGGGCACTGTCAGTTGATGTTGGATCCCCTTCCTCTTCAACTCCCCCTCAAAATCAGCTCCAATGAACTCCCCACCATTGTCACTGCGGATCACCTTCACCTTGTGTCCGCATTCCCTCTGAGCTCTAGGCATCCACTCCTTAAGGACAGCCGCTGCCACCTCCCCCTTGCTCTTCAAAGGGTAAACCCACACTGCCCGAGTGTGGTCATCCACAATTGTCAAGAAATAGCGGCTGCCTGAGAGGGAAGGGGCTCTTGTGGGCCCCACCACATCCATATGCACAAGTGCAAGTGGGGTCTTGGCTGGTCCTGTAGTGCTGTTGAAGGGGAACTTGGAGAACTTGGTCTCCAAGCATGTAGGGCAGCTCCCAATCTCCTTCACTCCCCCTTTCACCTCCAAGCCCTTCAGGCTCCCATCCTTCACCAACTTCTGCAGCATAGGGAAGTTCACATGACACAGCCTCTCATGCCATGTCTCCCAATCGGCCTCTCCACTCCTTGGTGAAGCCTTAGCCCATGCCGCACTCGCATCCACACCAGCAAGCACCTCACCATGTGTCTGCTGCTTCTGCACTTTCTTGACTGCTTCCAGCACCCCATCAGTTGGTGCAGTTGCATCTCCTCCTGCTGTTGCCTTTGCCACTGCTGCCGTTGCTGCTGTTGGAGTCTTCCCATTCCAAGGGATGATGGGCAGCTGCCACAGGTCCTTGATGCAGCTGGTCTCCTCTTCCAGACTCCACAGCACCTTCTTCCCAAGCTTAGCACGGCAGCTGGTTGGTCCAAAGGTCACTTCGGCCTTACTCTTCTGCAGTCGCCGCACAGAGAGAAGGTTAGCAGACAAGCCTTTAACCAGCAGAACATTCCCAAGCCCCACAAGCTCCCCATTAGCTCCCTTAACCTTGGCATTCCCAACACCAATCACGGGGAGCAAAGCACCTGACGCTGCTGCCACATACTTAATCTTCCCAGGGGGTTTTACCTCATCAAGCAAATCTGCCCGTGGAGTCATGTGACTGGTGCAACCCGAATCAATCACCCAGTGCGTGAGAGGGTGCATCACAACCTTTCCCACAGATCCCACATCACCCTCATGCCCATGCACATCCTGAACCATAAGAAACAAACCAGGATAGGCATTACCTTGTGCACCTTCACCTTGTGCACCTGAGCCTTGCACAGCGCCACCTTGTGCGCGTTCACCACTGGGTGGCTTCATGCCTGGAGGTGCCCATCCCTCCGGCCTGCTGAAGCACTTGAACCAAGGATGCCCTATCTTCTTGCAGTACCAGCACGTGCCCTCCATTCTGGTACTCCCCCTGCCACTAGAGCTCCCATGCCCCTCATTATAGTCACCTCGGCCTCTACCTCTGCCAAAGCTCCTCCCACGGCCTCGGCCTTTCCAACCCCCTCTTCCTCTGCTGCGCCCTGCAGCTCCATACCCCTCAGCAGTCTTAGTGGCAGCACCGCCTCCCACATGGCGTCTGCGGAAGTCCTCCTGCAGAATCTGCTGCCTTAGCCACTCAGGTGTCCATTGATCTTGCTGAGAGTTGAGGGTGGGGATGAGGTTGTCCCAAGAGTTGTCCAACACCGAGATGATCTTGGTGCACTGCTGCAGCTGAGATACACTGCTGCCCGCTGCTGCCATCCTTGCATAGGTGTCCTTGATCTTGTCAAGGACCGGCTTCACATCGTCCCCTGGTCGCATGGAGATGGCAGCAAGTTCCTTCTCGAGCACGATCACCATCGGGAGAGTGTTGGGCTGAACCACATCACGTAGTAGTTTCCACGCCCTTGGACCCGAATCATCCGCTTCCACAAGATCCTTGATGTGCTCGAACATCTCCTTGTTGACCGATTGAAGAATGAGGTCGAAAAGCACCGCGCTTTTCTCAATCCACCGTTCACGTGCTTCGCCTTCTTCCGGCATCTTCTCTTCCCCAACAGCAATCTTCAGGAGCTTGTAGCGTTTGAAGGCACTCCTCATCCGTCCGCTCCATTCCTCATAGTTGGAGCCATCCAAAGCTTCAACTTTTGATGGCGGCGGCTCACTTGTCTTCTCAGCTACAGCTCCTCTTCCATTAGCATCTCCTCCTCTCTCATTCATCTTCTCCTTGAGAAATGACGAATTTCAGCTCCCCTTTGCTGTCCACACTCAGCTCCCTCGATATTTTCACAAGTGTCGGCGTCCACGAAATTTCGGCAGAGTTTCCCCTTAGCGGAAGACACATCCAACCTTTAGAACACCACTTAGGCACACCCACAGGCCATGGTGGGTCTAGAAGGGTCTTCACACTTCTGTAGACTCCTCTCAATGTCCTTAATATCGCTCTGATGCCACTTGTTAGAATTAAGGACAGAGTCTAGGTGAACTTAGGAGCTAGAATTACTCAAAATATAAATCCGAAATTCTGGACAGAAAAGTCGTCTTCACAAGAAACGACGTCGACAAAACACTAGCCGTTGGAATGTCGCGAAACTTGGATATGTTGTAGCTCTTGATCTCAGCTACCGTTCCCAATTTGAATCACGTTGATTGATGAAGTATTCGCGACGCTATGGCTTTCGACGCACTAGGGGGTAAGCTGTAGGAGGAGAACTTAACTCAATCTCAAGAGTTCAATCAAAGTTCAAGAATCTCACAAGGAATTAGAAGGAGCAAGAGAAAGGTTGGGATAGAAAGAGAGGGACGAGAGGGAAGGTCCCAAGAGAGTCCCCAACCAAGGAAACCCCATAAGCACAAAGATTCCCTCCCTATAGGAACCTCAACTTTGACCTTTGTCCCTTCCCAACCAATCCATCCAAGTTGGCCACCCTTGCCAACCTAGCTTGGTTGTTCCCAACCAATTTGCAGCTGTTACAGTAGAGTGACAAGTTTCCCCAACCCCAAAGGTCCCAACTCCATATAAAGTCACCCCACAACTTCACTTTGTAACCGCCGCAATTGTAACGCAAGCTCATGAACTTTGAATCTTCATAGCTTTCGCGTTCTTGCTCCGATTGAAGCGATTCTTGTTGCGTCGGAAAGATCTTCTCAAGATCTATCATCACAAATACCTGCTCAGACAGAATAACACAAAACACATTCCCAAACTCCAGAACACACCACACACAAATGCTTGCACATTCAAACCACACATGCAAGTTGAAAAAACATGGGATGGGAGGCAGACAGAATGTGATAGCATATGATGACATCACACAACAATTACTACGTCTCCAGCTTGGTGCTCGTGTAGATCGGCGTTGCGCTTAGAAATAACATTCGCTCGCTTAATGGCTTCGGCTGCTCGTTCCCGGGCATTCTGTAATATTTCAGCAAACTGTTGGGCTCGAGGTACAGGATTTTCGATATCGGGCGTGATCGGTACTGTAGGGTTCTGCCCGTAGTTCACGTAAAATGGTGACTATCGTGTAGCATTTGACGGGGCGTTATTGTACGCGAACTCAATCACTGGCAGTTGCTGCTCTCAGCCGGCCTCGTCATCGCATGTGGCGCGAATCAGCTGCTCCATTGTCTGATTGGCCCGTTCGGTATGTTCGTCAGTCTCGGGGTGGTTGGCGGAGGAGAACTGCTGGCGCGTGCCAAACTGTTCCCAGAGGTTGCGCCAAAAATTACTGGTGAATTTCGTGTCCTGATCCGAAATTATGGCAGATGGAATTTTGTGAAGGCGAACGACCGTTGAGATGAATATGCAGGTTGTTTCTTCATCTGAGATACTTTTCTTGTAGGCAACGAAGTGGGCCATCTTTGTCTGCTTATCAACGACGACAAATGTCGCGTCATTACAGCCTTCCTTGGCTGGCAATCCCGTGACAAAATCCATCCTCACCTACTGCCACTCGTGCTCATACGGCGGAATCAACTGCACTGTCCAGCTGGCTTCTACTTCGATGATTTCATGGTTTGGCAGGTTTTGCACGAAACCGCATGCCGCTGCACGTCTCCTTGCATGTCAGGCCAGAAATAGTATCTGGTCAACTGCTACTGGGTAATCTCCACTCCGAAGTGCCCCTAAACGGTACTGTCGTGAGCTTCCTGTAAAAGTAACTCCCGTGATAAATTGTACTCTGGTACCAAGATGCGGCCAGTCCCTCTCTTTACGGAATAGACTCCCTTGGTCGTTGCGAGCTGTTCGTAAGCACCCGACGTAAAGAATCTGTCTGTCTAGTACCCGTGGGTAATTTGGCCTGTTAATAGCGAGGAAGTCTCGGCAAAGATTATGGAGTTGAGATGGGCGGATGGGCGAGAAAGGGGGTCTGTAATGTTTGATGCCCCTTTCTTGTATGTAACCGTATAATGAAAGTTGGTCTCCATGAAATCCAACCACCGAATCTGTCGTGGGTTGAGTAGTGGCTGTGCGCGGATGTACCATAAGCTTCGGTGGTCTGTCTGTACTATCACGTCTGCGCTCGCCAGGTAGCACCGCCATACTTTGAAAGCATGCACGATCGCAAGAAACTCCTTGTCGTGTATCGGATAGTTTCGCTCGGGCGGGTACATCTTTCGTGACTCGTACGCGATTGGCTGTCTGCCTTCGCTTAAGTCCTGTAACAGTACTGCCTTGATGTCGATGTCGCTTGCGTCTGTGATGAATTCGAATGGACGGTGAGGTTCGGCGATGCGAAGGACAGGGGTTGATCACATAAAATTTTTGAGTGCAGAGAAGGCAGCTTGCTCTTTCTCCCCCCACTTTTACTTAGTCCCTTTCCACAGCAGGTCACTTAACGAAGCAGTTACCCCTGCCATATTTGGGAGAAATCTCCTAACATAGCTGACGAGCCGTAAAAAACTTTGCAGCTCCTGCAGGTTCTTAGGCAGGAGACATGCTTGCACTGTCTCGATTTTGTGCGGGTCCACTTCGATGCCCTTAATGGGAATAACGTGTCCCGGAAATTCTAAGCGAGCTTTTAAAAACTCGCACTTTGACCCCTTCGTGAGCAGCCGATGCTCCTACAGTAGCATGAAAACTGCTTCGAGGTCCTTCAAGTGTTGCTCCAGGGTCTTGTTGTAGATCAGTATCTTGTCTAGGTAGACTATAACACACTTATCTATGAGCAAACTGAACATCTGGTTCATGGTCATCTGAAAAGTTGTCGGGTCGTTCGTCAGACCGAAGGGCATAACTATAAACTCGAAACTCACGTACCTAGTACAAAATGCAGTCTTGTGACAGTCAGCTATGACTACGCAAATCTGGTGGTAACCCCCTTGTAAATATATTTTGGAGAAGAAGCGAGCTTTGCGAAGCTGGTCGATCAGTTTGTCGGTGCGCGAGATAGGGAAATGTGACTTGATAGTCACCCTCTCTAGTGATCAGTAGTCAGTGCACATTCAATACCCGCCGTCTTTTTTCGGGGTGAGCAGTATGGGGGTGGCAAATGACGAGGAGCTCGGGCGGATGCATTTTTTCTCTAGTAAATAATATAACTGATTACGTAATCCCTCTAACTCTGGCTGTGTTAATGAAAATAGCCGCTGCACTGTGGGCTGTATCCCTGGTTTTAGTTCTATTCAATGGTCGAAGGGCCGTTCTGTTGGTAGTCCCTCGCGTAGATCGTCTGGAAATGACTACGAGAACCTGCAAAACAGCT